TGTTTTTATTTTTCCATCAGAAGTTGAGAACTGTTCTTTCAAGTAAACATGTTTCTTATACAAGAAAAAAAAAAGATAACTCCAAAAGTGCTACACAAAGATAATGAACTATCTAGGAAAATGGGGTATGGAATGTGTACCAGAGTCAAGTTTATTAGACTAGAGTTTAGTCCAATGTTGCTTCTTATTAGTTTTGGTTAATTATACAAAATTATGGTTTTCATTGTGACCTTGTCAGACTTGTTTATAATGTGTTTTAATATGACTCATTCCCATTACCCTCCCCTGACTCCCTTCCTACTCCTACTGGCCGTCTTCCTCTTCAGTCTTCCTCCTGCTTTCAACACTCTTTCTTTTGGCCAAGATTCTGTAATAAGAAAACCCATGCAACAATTGTCTTGCAGAGTCTGGATTATTTCTCTTAACATGACCTCCAACTCTATGTATTTTGGGGCAAATGACACAATTTCATTCTTCTTAATGGCATAATAGTAGATGATAGATAGATAGATAGATAGATAGATAGAGATGGTAGATAACAAATGGTAGATAATAGGTAATAGGTAAATAGATGATAATGGTAAAAGACAGATGATAGATAGATAGATAGATAGATGATTGATAGATAGATAGATGATAGATAGATAGATAATAGATAGATAGATAGATAGATGATTGATAGATAGATAGATAGATGATAGATAGATAGATGATAGATAGATAGATAGATAGATAGATAGATAGATAGATAGATAGATAGATGATTGATAGATAGATAGATACTATACTTTCTTTATCCAGCTATCTTGACTGGCTCTATATCTGCAGTACGGTGCACAGTACCTCAGTAAACATGGATGTGCAAACATCTCTGTGATGTACTTACTTAGAGTCCTTTGAGAATATATCCAGTAACAGGAGAGCCAGATCACAAGGCAATTCTTTTTCTAGCTTTTTGAAGCCCCTTCATACTGATTTCCATAGTGACCACACTGATCTACATTCCCGCCCACAATGTAAGAAATCTATAGTCAGGGTATTCTTGCAGCAATTGGTTTGTGGTTTGTTTTCTCAAATGATAGCCACTCTGACTGAGGTTAGATGTAAATGTATCTCAATGTAATTTTGATTTTCATTCCTTGATGACTAAAATTAGTGAATATTTATTTATGTATTAATTGGCCATTTGTATAACTTTTCTCTTGAGATTTTTCGGGATAATTCATCTGTTCATCATATTGATTATTTGGGTATTTGATTTTAGATATTGATCTCTAATAACAAGCATGGGTTTTTTCTCACATTCAACATGTCAGTTTTCTATATTGAGCAATTCTCCAGCTCTGCATGGACTCCAGCTTGGTATCTTACAGTTTAATTCAGTTCTGACACAAACTACCTCAAGACAAGCACAGAGCCCACTGCGCAGTTCCATGAAACTGCCTCCCACATTGGATGTCAATCAAAGCTAGTGGATGATAGGTACTCATCTCTCTGAGTGTAACATGAGGGCCGGCTTGTTGGGGTTTCTGTCCCGCCCGGGTACCCCACAACCGGCAAGTCCCAAAGAAAATCACAGAGTCTACATTAGGTTATAAACTGATTGGCCCATTAGGTCAGGCTTCTTATTAGCTCTTATAACTTATGTTACCCCATTATCCTTATCTACTTTAGCCACATGGCTCAGTATCTTTTCCAGCGGGGCAGCTTACATCTTTCCTCTCTTGTGGTCTGGGCAGAACTGCGGAGGGAGCTTCCTGCTTGCCAGAATACTCCCAGTCTCTTTGCTCCATCTCTACTTCCTGTCTGGCTTTCCCGCCTATACTGCCTGCCTGGCCAATCAGCGTTTTATTAAAATGTGATTGACAGAATACAGATAATTCTCCTGCACCATCTGAGGGCAGCAAATAAGCTGTTCCAATGACCTTTCCTCGGGTCTGATCCTTTGCTGTGCTAGGTTACAGAACTCAAAGGGCCACTTCAGGTTAATTTTAAAGGATATTAAAAATATGATAATAGATAACTAAATGAAAGGAAGTAGGGCAAGGTCCAGATATCTCCTGGGAACAGGAGAGAGTCAAACTGAAGTGCACCCTCCCAGTACCCAGGTAAGATGGTAGGCGAAACTGAGAGACCCTACTCATGGCATGATTTCTGGTGACCAATTGTCCATCGTCCTGCTGAAACTATCAGAAGTCCCATCAGGTTGCCTGAGTAGAACAAAAATTCTCCAAAACCCTTGAATATTCAGGGATTAAGGCACTCTATGTATATCATGCTCATCATTCAAAAAATAATAGTGGGGGGCATATTAGGTGCTAGAAGCCAAGAGAAAATGCGTATGTCTTACTATGTCAGCTCTCACAGTTTCTACACTGTGAGGACCAAGAAGCCCAAGTCAGAAAATGAAGGAGAAACAGTGCACCTAACTATTGCTTCCCCAAGGGGCTTTTGTACAACGGGTCACAATCCTTGAATGAATTGTTTTAATTCTAATTGTGCTATGTTTATTATTTTAATTAGACATAAGAGGAGTTGTGGGTGCCCAATCTTTAACTTATTGTTAGATGAGATAGTTTCGGGCCGTAACTCTTCGGAATTTATGCAAGCCAACTATATTAACAACTAAAACAAGGAATACCACCCTCTCCTCTGTTACACGTTTGGTAACTTGCACTACAGTGTAATCGCTTAAAGGTTAAGTTTAGCGGCACCCCCTTGTATAAGGTACCACATTTAAATGTACCAAGACTCCACGTTAAGCTGTAACTTGAACAGTAGGATTAACAAGTTAGCAGATGTTAAAGTTAATTTAGAATCAGCTGAGGTCACTGAGGTGCAGCCCCAGTTGGTGCCCTTTCTGTTTTTCTAATGGATAGTAATTGTCTAGTAGATTTTTGGATTTCCAATACGACCATGCAACATTTTTGAATTATTAATGTATTTTGTGTGAGGGAGAGGAGCCTCTGTTCACAAGTAAGCTCTTTCCCAGAGCCTCCAATCAGACCATCATCTGGTTGCATCCTCCCTGTGACAATGATTGCTCTCCAAAGTAATGGACCTCCTGTCTTACGTTATACTTCAGCTTGTGTCTCGGCCCCCTACTTGCTGAGATGTGATCATGCTGAATGACAGCCTTGCCCACCACAGACAGAGCCATCTCAGCCCTCAGCCCCTCCTCATGATGAGAGGGAGAGATGGGACGAAATCCTCATCCCTTTTCAGTCTGTCAAATGTTCCTGTCACGATGAAGAGTAAAGTAACTGATGCCGTATTCAACAAAGCATCGGTCTTCTGAGCTTGCTACCCGTGCCTTCCAGAGTTGTTTCCTCCGTAAAACTACTCTGAACTGTGGCTTGCTCCACACTCGCCTGTGATCAATATGCTTCTGTTGCTGTTATAGAACAGCATAACCAGAAGCCATTAAGGAAGAGAAGGGGCCATTTTAGCACATGGTTCCAGAGGGAGAGTCCATCGTGCGGAGGAAGGCAGGACAGGGTGACAGATGCATTCAGGAAGCAGTGAGAGATGGAGACAGAGGCAGGCACAGACAGACACAGAGACACAGATACAGGTAGAGACACAGAGATACAGAGAAAGATGTAGAACAAGAAGCAGAGTGATATTATAAAGCAAAACAAACAAAAATCCTTGTAGTGTATTTTTTCCAGAAGAGTCACCCTCCTGAAGGTTCCATAACTCTCCCAAATGCCAACAACAACTGTGAATCAAGTGTTCAAATTCATGAGCCTAGAAGAGGCATTTCTTATTGTAGCCACCACATCTTTGTAGTCATACTGTGTTGAGTGTCTTGCTTCCAGAATCTGTAAAAGAGACTTCATAATATTCAGCAGATGAAGCAATAAGCAGCCTAGCTCCAAACTCAGGCTCGCCTACAGGTGGCAACACAGCCCACAGACATTAGCCAAAGGGCAACAGTTCAAAATACAAGTTCATGAGCAATCAGTAGGGCCAATTATCCAGGCAAAATAAGGCCTCAGCTGTGCTGATCATTGCTGAAACCCGTGCTTAGAGGTACCAGTGGCCATCACTCTTATAGACTGGCTGCAATTTTCACATAAAATTGGTTCAAATGTGGACGGGTGAGGCCATACATGTGCCAGGAGGGTAGAAAAAAGATTACTGACAAAATGGGGCTTGCTGGGGAGAGTCAGACACACTGTCAAGAAGGTACATACATGATTTCAAAGATCAAGGGGAGGCGTGGCCAACAACACTAATGGAGACTGCGGAAGATTCGTCATCCATTTAGTCACATGGAAGACATGAAAGGAAGAGGGATGCGCAGGGTCTTGAAAGCCGCTGCAGATATCAAAAGTGAAGTCAGGCGTCATTACAGGCATTAACGTGAGACGTCTCTGCAGCTTCTTCTGAACTGAAACACTCGCTTGCTCCAGGAGTCAGAGGAGAGGCTGCCGAAACTTGTAAGGTAGCGAGCGAGCGTCACAAGTCTTGGAAAACTGAAGCTTGGAGGTTCCCCAGGACTATGGAAGCTATAAGTAACTGCTCAAGAGAAACTGACCAGCAAGCTATAGAGCAGTCTCTGGGACAGTTCCGCTCCTGTGCAAGCCGTGCAAAGAAAACTCCAGGTATGCAGCTTGGTGATGATGCTACTTCTGAGTCATCCTTGTTGGTGCAAATAACACCCCACTTGTAGTGGCATTTCATTTGTATTTTAATAAATAAAGCTTGCTCGAGGATCAGAAAAGTAAAACAGTCACAATGGCCAGCCTAACAGACCAGGCAGTGGTGGCACACACCTTTAATCCCAGTAGCCATACTAGTTTGCCATAGAATCCAGTGGTAGTGGTGCACGCCCTTAATTCCAGCCCTAGAGCGGATTATAAAATGGGAAGAGACAGCTCTCACACACAGTCTCATTCTGAGATTCCTGGAGGCAGGATCACCATTTTGGATTGAGGCAGAGGTAAGAGCCAGTGACTGACTGCTTTGCTTTTCTGACCTTCAGGTTGAACCCCAATTCTGCCTCTGGGATTGTATTAATCATGCTTCATTCACTCCAGCTAGTAACCCATATAAAAACTCGGTAGTTCAACAAGTTGGACTCTGGAGCAGCCATTCCTCCAGTCTGCTCTCCGTTCCCTGTCTGGGGTGAGTACATGCATGTTTAGGAAAGATTTATCACACACACACACATTTGTGCCAATGAAAACCTAATGTGTGTGTTTTTGATGGTTCTTGTTTTCTGATTTGCATTAGTGGTTGATGTATTTTCCTTTCAAAGTGTTAAAATCTGCCAGGCTTGGTAGCACAGCCCCTACTCCCAGCACTCGGCAGGTAAAGGCAGGCGGGTCTACTACAACCTGTTTGATTGCATTCCTCCTCTTACGCTCGCCCCTTCCCGAGCATCCTTCACCAATCTGTCCTTCTCTTTCTGAGTTCTTCTCTTTCCTCACAGTTTTCTGCATCTCTCCTCACAATTCCACCCCGCCACGCCCAGACTCAAAACATCTGAAACAGGAAACAGTGTTCAAACTAATCCTATAATTCTTTAGGAAGTTCAGTCTCTGCACAGAAAGGCATGATTAAGAACAAATAGGCAGCAGTTGTATCGGGATCAGAAGGCACGACAGCAAACATTCAGCACAAAATTCAGTTCAGAATAGCTGATGATTTTCCTTCATCTTTTTTTTTCGTTTTCCATCTAAAACCATACTTTACTTTCCTCTCCTGTTTATACTTTATCCATCTTTCCTTTCTGGCTTCATGCCTGCCTTCCTTTTTCCATCTTTTGATTTTTCATTTCTTTCTTTCCCTTCCCCTCCCTCTCAGGTTAATGCACAGTGTCTGAGTCACTCTGGAGCGTAAGAAGACATCAGTGCTCAGTTCAGAAGGTGAGCACTAGAGACAGAGAGGACCTCAGCTCTGAACCTGCCAGAAGCAAAGATGGAGCAAGCCAGCCTCGCCATGAAAACACCCAGCAGTGTAAGTCAGAGTTAGCTCTTGGAATGCATTCTCCTGGATGGTCATAATTGGTAGCAGATATGCTTTGTTAATAAAGGCTTTGTTGAGAGCATGCTTTGCATAAAGGAAGAACTCCTGGTAATTTGCAAGTCAGTTTTAGAAGAATATCTATGAAAATCATAATAAAATAAGAACTGTTATCATTTAAAGAAACAGCTTAGAAACTTAGCCCCAATGGGAGATATTGTGATCACGGAGGTGGCTTTCCCAGGGCAAGGCTCATCCATGGCACTGCACATATTCTGTCCCTTATGAGTTTCCAAAGTTCTGGGAATTGCATAATTAGTGATAGTGGAGGGGGGCTGTGTTCCCATTTTCCCCTTATTTTTGTGTTTAAAAAGATAAGCAACTTAATCAATCCTGAAAAGTTTGTAAAGAGTATAATGTTTAAATACTTATCTCCAAAGTATCTATTAATAAAGGAAAATCAGTAGAGAAAAGCAAAGACTGAACTATATGGAGATTTGCAAACTAAAGGGAATCAATGTTATAAGACAGAGGAAGTCATTTATAATGGCAAGTTAAATGTTCTACGCTCTATTTCACTAGGATGAACTTGGGCTAGAAAAGTAGGAGGGGCAGTGTTTCCCATGTTACTTCCAAGGTGCTGCTGGTCTCTTCTTACCAGGTTCTCTGTGTGATAGAGTCTAATCTCCAGGTAAGTAAGCAGTGGTAGAAAATACAAGGCAGAAAAGTAAGCTCAGAGAGCAGAACTGAGCTTCATAAACCAACATTGGTACTTTGTGGCATTTTAAATACAGAGAAATCAGCTAAGAATTCCAATCAGCGCTCTGGAGGTAAAAGAAGGTATAATATGCATGTATATGTAAATACACACACACACACACACACGTGAACTCACTCACATTATAACATCTTATTTAAGTTTTTATTTTAATCAGACATAAGAAGATACAAGAGATTGTTTCCAATACATAAGTAGACTGTTTTCACCTCTAAAGGAGACAAACAGGATGGCTGCTCAGGGAAGTAGATGGGAAATTGACTCCTTGTCTTACCTGTTTCTTGTTCATTAGTAGTAACACAAGTCATCACTTCCTTTTTGCATGTATCCTAGGTCATCAAGTGCCGGGCAGCTGTTGCCTGGACAACCAATGCTCCCCTTTCCATTGAGGAGGTTGAAGTTGATCCACCAAAGGCCGGTGAAGTCCGAATTAAGGTAAATATAAACGGTGATGCATTGAGTAGATATGGACGCATGTACGTGTGTGCTTACAATGATTTTCTTTTAATTTAGGAAACAAATGGTATTCTATATTAAAGAGAGTTAAGACTTCCTGTGATTTATACAGATAGCAATAATGAGGTTGTTGCATTTTGCTAAAATGTCACCAACCTAAGACATATAAATACATTTAAAATACCAATGGTTTTTGGATTTGAAAATCAGACTGGGGAGGGATCAGTGAAGTCACGTAAAAGCCAGGCAAGAAGCATACATTTGTAACTGGGAGTTAGAGACAGGAGAATACCCCGGCCTTCTCTGGTCAACCAGTGAAGCCAAAGCGATGAGCCTCTATTTCAGTGGGGAACCTTGTCTCAAAACACAGAGAAGCAAATGAGGACAGACATCTGAACTTCAACCTCTGGTGCATGTGTGGGCGCGCACGCATGTGTGGGCGCGCACGCACGCGCACACACACACACACATACACAGAAAGTTCTCTTTCTCTCATACAGCCAGGAAACACACACACAGGAAAGCTCATTCACGCACACATAACTCATACACACAAAGTAAGATTGGTGAAAATCAATGCAACTGTTGGTTCCTAAAGCTCACTTTTCGACAGTTACAGAGCTATTCTGATATATAACTATTCAGTGGCTGTAGGTGTCCTCTCAAACTTGTGATAAAGTGTGGTTGCCATTATAAAGATTCCAGGACAATGTCTCTAAGAGGTAAGTGTGTGGATCGTGAGGCCTTTGCCATCATGAACAGATTAAAGCTGATCCTATAGGAAGACATTTCTTACAGGTTCCTAATAAAAGCATGATTCTGCACCCACCTACCTCCCTCTCTCTCTCTCTCTCTCTCTCTCTCTCTCTCTCTCTCTCACACACACACACACACACACACACACACACACACACACACACACACACCTGCTGTTTGCCATGTTGTAACAGACAGTGGGCCCTTGTTGGATGAGAGACCATAGTCTTAGATTCACCAGATTCCACAGTTGTGAGCCAAATAAACTGGTAGGGTCAGAATGACATAGTCGGTGATATTCTGTTACATCAGGAGACAAGAGACTCAGACAAAAGCAGTTGTTCTGCTGCAGTGGGAGTGACTATGAGGCCCAGGCCCCCCTTCCACATTGGTTCCCTGGAAGGTTCTCCACTCCAGGTATGACAGATCTAGAGTACTAGAGATTAATCACCCACCTTCTTCTGCCATTCTCAACCGTGGGAAAAGTTTGCTCTAGACAGGACCACCTCACCTGGGTCTGCTCCGGCCATCATCACAGGATCCCATCATGCATGTGTTTTAGAGAAGATTTGTTTTCTCACAGTTCCAGAGTCTGTGAGCAAGCAGCAGCAAACTCAACACAGGAAGTCGTCTAGATGAAGGAGCCAGCATGCCTGGTTCTGATAAAAGCTCTCATACTGGCTTAGATAGATAGATAGAGAGATAGATAGGTAGATAGATAGATAGATAGATAGATAGATAGATAGATAGATAGGTAGGTAGGTAGGTAGGTAGGTAGGTAGGTAGGTAGGTAGATAGATAGATAGATAGATAGATAGATAGATAGATAGATAGATAGACAGACAGACAGACAGATGCTCAACTTCTTACTGTACCTTTCTGTGAGAAAGAGAGGACATGGAAAAGAGGAAGCTCCTGGTCTCTCTCTTCATAAAGACAGAAGCTGTGAATTCATGGCTTCATCTGAAGTTGACTACCTCCCTCCATGTACTATTATGCTGGGGACTGCTAGACCTAACACATCCCATGAGACCTAATCCATTTTAGAGATGTATTTCATTTTAAAAGTGTGTGTGTGTGTGTGTGTGTCTGTGTGTCTGTGTGTACTTGTGTGCTGGTGCCCCATAGAAGCCACAAATACACTGAAGCTGGAAAGACAGACAGTTGTGAGCTGCCCAGCTTTGGTGCTAAGAACAAACTCAGGTCCTCTGCAGGAGCAGAAAGCATTCTTAACTGATGAATCTTCTCACAAGCCTCTCCATCTAGTCCCCTGAGAAAGACATTAAGCCATTCATGAGGGTAGTACTCTTGACCCATGCATCGAAGACATTACTGATTTTCAATACTTGCTGTGCTGGGGAGCGAGAGTCTAGCATGTGAACCTCTCATGAAGCAGACCACACCCAAACCATACCCAAGATCTTGGTGATAAGCATTTAAGAGAGGCCTGGAAACTCTGTGAGCAAGCAGCAGCAAACTCAACACAGAAAACTAGGCAAAGATGCAATTAATACTTCACGCTGACATCATTGAATCTCTGCAAATCTAAAGCTGTGGACCAGACTATACTGATTTCCCTCAAGACCAACGAGAGAGGGTATTTGAAAACAGCAAGCAAACAAGCAAAAGGGCAGAGAGAGACGGGATTGTGGGGCAACTAGGAGCAGCAAGTAAACAAGAGGACAGAGAGGGATAGGACTGCCAGGTAACTGCTTGGGTCAATGGCCTTAATAAACAGACCAAGAAAACACAGAGATAAACATCTTCCATCCTGGAAAAGCCCAGAGGAATGAAGAAAATAACATCAAAGTGAGCAGATTGCCAAAGCGAAAGAGCGATTTTACAAAGAATTTGGAATGTTCCAAGGATCAATTTCTGCGGGCCAGAAAAAATAACAAAAATCAAGAGAATGTCTAGATAAAACTTGTTAGCTCTGTCAACATGTTCCAGGGGAAATATGCAGTCTGAAACTGATCTGACTGGCCACCAGCTCCAACCAGCTGTGGCATCTCTGTGCCCCGGAGGACAACTAAGTGACCTTTTGAATTGGAACAGTTAGAGAAAGAAAACTGTTGCAAAGAGGAAAAAACAAGAAAACTGTATAGTGCAGAAGAACCTTTGGGGATGGCTTCAAAGGCCTTTCCGGGTCCCTTTTGCGTGTTAGCTGGTATCATGAAACAGTTCGCGGGCTGGGGATGGGAAAGCTGGCGCAGAAAGGCTTGGGGTTTAGGCTGTTTTACTGCTTGGTGTGGAATTCAGGAGGAACATCAAAATGTCACCCAGGTTTTCCCTCCCTGTGAGTTCATGTAACAAGACATGCCCTAAAGTTCCTGCTGTATGCTTGACCACATCCCGCAGTTTGTAGCAAAGTGCCAGAAAGAATTTAGTGATGTTTGCCAAGTTAAGGCAGTCGGGGCAAAATTATGAATACAAGAGAAACTACATGTTGTGTTCTGTGGGTACAATAATGTCACTTGAAGTTGTAACCTATTTTTCTCTGCAAGACCCAATAATTTTATGACCAGGTATTTTAATACAATAATTGCATTAATTCTTCGAGAGCCTCATGCATGCATGCAATATGTTTTGATCATATTCACCCCTCCCCACATCCCTGTCCTCTCCCTTCTTCACGTCCTTTATCTTCTTTAACAGCTCACTGAGTTCAGTTTCTGGGGCTGGTTTAGCGAGCTAAGCTTTTGTCCTGTACATTTTAGGGGTAAAGGTTCAAACAACTAATGACCTAGATTAAGACTTTGTGTCAAATGAAAGGTGAAGGTAAGTAGAGAATATTAATAGCTTGTTGGGGTAGAACAAAGACCAGTAGGTCATACTCTCCTGAATTGGCTGTTAAAGAACTCAGGGCTACCCAGACCTGTTTATCAATCAGTAAGAACAGACATACTGTCTCTCTGTTCAGTGACTCCTGCCTAGGGCTCCTTTCTTGGCAATAAGTCCTGTCAATAAGGATAATTATGGGGGACTGGCTTTATGAAGATTTGACTATGAGAACAAAGGTTTGACTGAGTAAATGCTTCCACACCAGGGCCCCAAGGTGTGGGAGAGGTCATCCAGTTGCCAGTGCAGGATAAGTCGGGTTTAAAGGATGATTTATCCACTGCTGGGATATTCTGGGATGAATCCCTTTACGGAAGGGGGAAAGCCATAACTTCACAAGATTTTGACAGAATTGACAGTAACTATCCAAACGATGGGTGTTCCCAAAGCTTTGCAAATCAGGTTCCCCATAAAGTGCACACTTGTAGGTTTGTCTAGTTATCTGTCAGCTGTACTTTTATTGTACAATGTTTGTGGCTCGTAGCACCAGTTCATGCTGCTCACATATGAACGGTGTGGGGCCACCCACTGGAGCACGGTTGTCTGACCCAGGCCCATCCCCCTAAAGAAAACTGGCTCACGTAGCAGCCACCAACTGTCAATAGTTCCTCAGCTAAGTGTGAGCTTGTGAACCCGTCTCTCCTGGGATGCTAAGTGGCTTCATCTTGTGCAGGTGACAAGCCACTGTGAGTTCACGGTGCATCCATCCTGTCATGTCCAGAGGACACTGTTTCTCCCTGGTCTTCCTCAACCTCTGGCTCTTACTATCTTTCCAACCCCTCTTCCACAATATGGCCCCGGCCTTGGGGAGGTGTGTGACGAAGATGTCCCACTGACGGCAGAGAGTGCCGGACATACTCTCTGCACTTGAACCAGATGTGAGTTTCTGCATTAGCTGTCATCCACAGCACAAAGGAGCTTCTCTGAAGGTCTGAGAGATGCACTAATTGAGGACTGAACATTTTTGTCTTTAGAGGGCGGGCAGATACTCTGTCCCTTTAGCAATAAAACAATAGGAATAGGATTGCTTCTAGAGCCTATGAACTCGCAACTGTAGGGTTTGGGCCAGATTTACATACCAGGCCTGTGTTTCTTCCTGTGGAGTGGGCTGGAAACGGAGTGAGAAAGTGGTTGGTGACCCCCGTAGCATTTACGCCACCCCTGCACCCATGGGTGCATCCTACGAGGCTGGTCATTATTGTCGCTTGAAGAGATCGCAGATAAAACTGTTGATGGCCTTTCTCTCCCAGTAGCACACAGAGAACCTTCAGGACCATGAAAACAAATGAGCGCAGAGAAAGCAGCCCAGTCAGCACCAGCTTGAGGGGGTCTCCAAGTCACTGACGACAGATAATTCAAGGGGGAGATATCCCCAGACCTGGCATTGGCACTGTCCCTTTAGCAATAATATCTGGCAACCTATGACTTCTAGGGGAAAACGCTCACACAGACACACACACACACACACACACACACACATTTAGGAAGTTTATAAAATAGTAGGTTTCCACATAGCTTTTTAAAATAGCCTAGTGTTAATTATTCCTGTCCCACCCCCTACTCTGCCCTACCTTCCCATCTCCCTCTACACTTAAACCTCCCTCCTCACTTCTAGGGCCGACGGGTCTACCCCTCCTCCCACTGTTCATCTTGAGGAGTTTCTGGCCAGACATCTTATTGCAATTTCCAGTTAAACATCCTGGTTGTTCCTGTGCTCCTTCTGTCCCCTGGTGGTTAGCTATAGGGCCTTTGTTTACTCCATCTTGGGCCTGATAATTTCCCACCTACCTGGGGGGAATTCCATTGTGCAGCAGCTAGGTATATAAGGTTTTTCCTAAGCTTGAATAAACAGCATTCGGCATTGTCTCCTCACAAGTGACCCACATCTCTTGTGTGTTCCTTTAATCTCCAGGTCCTTGCCTGGCTCACAAACAGTACAGTGGAGTGAACTGTACCACAGAGAGTTACATTCATTAATCCCGTTTCCTCTTCACCTCATCCTGCTATCCCTTCTCCTTTACAACACTTTCTTCCCTCTCCCACTTCTTCTTTTAGTTTTTGGGGCTTCTTTTAGTTTTCCTGGTGTATTAGTTAGGATTCTATTGCTGTGATAAGGTACAATGACCTGAAACACGATCCTCCTTAGTCTTATCCATCAAAACCCAGAGTCAGATATGAGGGTGAAAGCTGAAAGATCAGAGAAGCAGAGCAGCAGCCCCTAGAGACTTCTTACCTCTCCGAACTCTCAGCCCAAATGGATTGCTCACTCCTGGCTTGCTCTGCTTACTCTTTTATACAACCCAGGGCCACCAGCCCAGGATGGCAAGGACCCATCCACCTCAATTATTAATTAAGACAATACCCCACAGACTTTACTACAGGCCAATCTGTTGGAAGAATTTTTTTCAATTAACTTTCTCTTTCCCCAGTTATAGTAAGTTTGGTTTAGTTGACAAAAACCAACCAGCACACCGGGCCCTACAAGTACTCCAAGTTAAACATACAAATTAAAGATTCGATGCCAGGATCCACATATTCGTGTGTACACGGTGACTTTCTCTTTCTGCCACTCGGCATTTTATCTCAACGTATTTAATCATCTTTTCAGATTATATCCTCTGGAGTCTGTGGTACCGATAACCACATCCTGGAAGGGAAAGACAAAGTGCCACTTCCTGCCATCCTGGGCCATGAGGGAGCTGGGCTTGTGGAGAGTGTCGGGCAAGGTGTAACAACCGTAAAGCCAGGTAGGTAACTAGACGTGATATTGATGTTACCCAGGGATGCAGGAGGAGGTTTAGCTTTTATGTCACTTGAAGAAGTAAGAGGCAGGACTGGAGAGACGGCTCAGAGGTTAAGAGCATTGGCTGGTCTTCCAGAGATCCTGAGTTCAATTCCCAGCAACCACATGGTGGCTCACAACCATCTGTAATGAGATCTGGTGCCCTCTTTTGGCCTGCAGGCATATACTCAGGTAGAACCTTGTATACATAATAAATAAATAAATCTCAGAAAAAAGAGAGAGAGAGAGAGAGAGAGAGAGAAGGAGGGAAGAAGAAAGGAAAGAGGAGAAAGGAAGGAAGGAAGGAAAGAAGGAAGGAAGGAAGGAAGGAAGGAAGGAAGGAAGGAAGGAAGGAA